TCAAGCTCTTGTTCTCTCCAAACTGGATTACTGCAACTCTCTACTAGCTGGGCTTCCAGCTAACTCTATCAAGCCTCTTCAACTGCTCCAGAATGCAGCAGCACGAGTTGTCTTCAATGAACCTAAACGAGCACATGTCACTCCGCTGCTAGTCCGTTTGCACTGGCTGCCAGTTGCTGCTCGCATCAAATTTAAAACTCTGATGTTTGCCTACAAAGTGACTTCTGGCCTAACACCTTCTTATCTGCACTCACTTCTGCAGATCTATGTGCCCTCCAGAAACTTGCGTTCTGTGAATGAACGTCGCCTCGTGGTTCCATCCCAAAGAGGGAAAAAATCACTTTCGCGAACGCTCACGCTCAATCTGCCCAGTTGGTGGAATGAACTCCCTAACTGCATCAGAACAGCAGAGTCACTCGCTATTTTCAAGAAACGACTAAAACCTCAACTATTTAGTCTCCACTTCACTTCCTAATCTGCAATTGCCTATTTGAATATCACACTAACTGTACAAAAAAAAAATAAATAAAAAAAAATAAAAAAAAATTACTAACACTTCCCTTCTTAGACTTTACAGACCTGAAACTTGCCTTTAGTACTTATTCATTGTTGCTCTTAGTTGTGTAAATTGCTTCCTTGTCCTCATTTGTAAGTCGCTTTGGATAAAAGCGTCTGCTAAATGACTAAATGTAAATGTAAATGTAAATGTATTATCAGTAACAGAGGGCGTTTTTTAATAAAGTAACAGAAAAGTGTGTAATAAGTGTTTTAAAGGAACGTTTTACCTGATTTCTTTTTGTTAATTACTCTTATATAAAGAAACTGTTTAAGAAGTTAAGTGTTCAAGAGAAGTTATTTTGTTTCTGTTCATTGTTTTATTTATTTTAAACAGGGCATTTTAATGTTTTGTACATTTTAAACAGGATAAAGTGTCCAAACACAGAGAAAAACTCCTGCTGAAGCGACTGATCTCCACACTGCTATAAAGATGGCGTTTATTAAAGAGGAGAGTGAAGATGTTCAGATTGAAGAAACATTCAGAGTCAAACAGGAAGATCCACAGGAACAAACAGGTTGATTTTTATTCTCAGGCCCCTTTTACACTTGTGCGTTTTAGTTTTAAAACAGCGTCCACACTAGCATTCCACCGAGCGTTTGTGAACAGCTCTATGTCCACACCAAAATGGTGAAAACGCACATCACCACACACACCCTCTCAATAGAGGTAAAGTTGGTTTTATATTCGCACATTTGTTAATTTAGAAGTCTCTATATTGTTTACCATGTTACTTTGAATATTCGATCAGAATTAGCATGCAAATATGACTTGAAAACAAAATTAACACTGTTTATTTGACTGTGAACAATGTTGTACTCTAATAGTCATTGGCTGCTGCTAATATGATTTCGCTATTTAGAGTTTGCAAATAATACTTTAATGAAATTATATCATTAAGGGGAAAGTCCGAATGTGCGAATATAAAACCAACTTTACCTCTATACACTCTCGGGCAATCGCTGCAGCCTATCTACCTAGATACAAGCTCTGCTCGTCGGACATAGAGGTAAAGTTGGTTTTACATTCACACATTCAGACTTTCCCCTTAATAATATAATTACTTTAAAGTATTATATGCAAATTCCAAACAGTGAAATCATATTAGCAGTCAATGACTATCAAAGTACAACATTGTTCACAGTCAAATAAACAGTGCTAATGTTGTTTTCAAGTCATATTTGCATGCTAATTCCGATCAAATATTCAAAGTAACATGGTAAATAATATAAAGACCTCTAAATGAACGAATGTGTGAATATAAGACCAACTTTACCTCTATTCGTCGGACTGCTCATCAAGCATCTCCCGCTGGATCTAATCTCACTATATTGATTAAACGGGATATTTCATACATCCTATTGTCTTTATCTAACAACATATTCCCTGACTTTGGTCTTTTGAATCTATTACTTGTTCTCAGGTAACGTGTTTTGGTTAAGTGCAAAGATAAGTTAATGATAATGTTACCATGTAGCCTACATTCTGTATATTGACTGATCACTTGCCTTTATTTCCTAAAATGTATAAACTTATTGTCTGTTATACTTTTCTTTTATAATGGCCATTATCGATAATCAAAACTGATATTCAGCAAAAGAAATGGTATGTTTCGTATTTTCACTGAAATTGAAAGGAGGCAGTTGTTATAAGCTCCGTTTTGTTATAAATATCCACACAGTGAAGATGAGGGTCATATTATACAGCACGGCGCCTCAACATTTCTGCTGTCTGTTAAGTTGCTAATATCAAAATGAAAATAGGCAGTTCCTTAAATCATGTTTTCATTTTATTGTTGAGAAAGTGAAACAACGTAGCCAGGGTGATGTGAATGAAGTTATAAAGTACACTGTTTCCTTTGAAGAGAATGCAGGATGGAACTGTGTGTCTCCGTTTTCCCGCATCCACACTGGAGCAGCAGTAATTTAGAATGAAAACGGCCTCTTCAGCGTTTCCAAAATGCTCAGTTTTCGGCACTCGAAAACTCCTGTGTAGTGTGGACGGATGGCGTAACCTTAGCAAAACTTATGCATTTTAAAACGAAACGCATCCGTGTAAATGGGGCCTTAAAGACCAACTCAGTCATTTAATCTTCATTCAGATATTCATTTATTTTCTTGTCAGTTTAGTCCCTTTAATAATCCAGGGTCGCCACAGCGTAATGAACTGCCAACTTATCCAGCAAGTTTTTATGCCCTTCCAGCCTCAACCCATCTCTGGGAAACATCCACACACACATCCACACACACACTCATACACTCATACACTACCGACAATTTAGCCTACCCAATTCACCTGTACCGCATGTCTTTGGACTGTAAGGGAAACCGGAGCACCCGGAGAAAATCCATGCAAAGGCAGGGAGAACATGCAAACTCCAAACAAAAACGCCAACTGAGCCGAGGTTCGACCCAGTGACCTTCTTGCTGTGAGGCGACAGCACAACCTACTGCACCACTGCCTCGCCTTTCATTCAGATATATTTTAAAAATAAGAATACTAAATTAAATCCGTCTTGCAGCCCTGAGTGTGCTGCCTAGTTCTCCTAAATGCACATAAGCACTCATTGAAAGACAGGAATATGTTCGCATTTGTCATGCGATCACAATTCCCCTTTTTTCATCAACTTCTTCATGGGTTTAAACTTGTTTCTAGTAGATGTTTCTAGTTCTCACAGATAGTATCATAGTTAGAATTACATCATTATTATAATAACTAATTACCAGGACTATTGTGTTTAAACAGGGTTTTAAAATGTCTTAAATTCCAAAATCGAAATTTTAGGCCTTAAAAAGTCTTACATTTACTGAAATATTGTGCTGTAGGTCTTAAATCTTTTATAAACAAGTCTTCATTTTTCCTTTGGTCTTAAATTAAGGTTCATGTTTTTCTACCCAATCTGGCCCAAACCCACACAATCACCATCAATCTATCTCATTGTTTTTTTACCCAGACATTTAAAAAGAATATATTTTACAGCAATAATCACAGTACCTTAAAACCGTGATATTTTTATTCAAGGTTATCAAACTGTCAAAATCTTATACTGCCCCATGCCTAATGCTGCTTGATGTTGCAAAGTCATATTTTCTTATTTTATTATTTTTCTTTGTAAGTATAATCATGAACATGTATAGCCGTTTATTATTCCATGTCATTTCTCCAATAGGCAACTGAATTGTAAGTTTTAAATCAATAGCAAATGAGATCAGGTCACTATGACATGATTGATAATTTTTGTATGTTGCTGTTTGTTGTTGTACTCTGTCTATTCTGAGAGCTGATGCTGAGTATTAGTAGAAATTTTCACCCTTGAAATTGTTAACCCTGGGTCATTCTAACCCTGGATAAACAGAATCCTGGGTTACCTGTAAATACGTTTCACACTGCTCATGCTATGCCTAGGGTTATAAAATAATCCTGGGTGTTCATTAACAGACAGTTCACATTCGCAAACCCTGAGTTAACATTATTATTTGTATATTTACGTTGTCACTGTCCCCGATTGGAATAAACAGCAGATAACCTTTTTTAGATGGCATTTCTGCATCTTGTCGGGTATATGAAATGTCATCATGTAGTTCTTCAGCTAAGCCTCAGGACATACACAAAGGCAAAAAAACAAAGACAAAAGTACAAATGAATGAAAACAAGTAGCAAAGTATGTCATCTTCTCATCACTCCAGTTTACAGCAAACATGGCATTAAGCATTTGCACAAGTTCATTCATTCATTTACCTTCGGCTTAGTCCTTTTATTCATCAGGGGTCGCCACAGTGGAATGAACCACCAACTTATCAAGCATATGTTTTAAACAGCGGATACCTGTCCAGCTGCAAACCAGTACCGGGAAACATTTGCATAAGTTATATACAATAATGCAAACTCACTAATATAAGCTGAATTATGCACACTTGCTATGAACTTGCAGGATTTGTGTAAATCAGGTTTTTCAAGAAAGAGATGCACATGAGGGAACACAACATGAGTAATCTAGAGCGAGTGCGTTTGATTATTTGCATTTAAAGCCACAGGCACAAAAAGAGCTTGGTTTTCCTCTGACCTCCAAAATGAAATATTCTGCAAGGTATATGATCTGATTTTGAGCTGAAACCTCAGACACATTCTGGAAACACTAAAGACTTACTTTACATCTTGTAAAAAAGGTTTATAACAGGAACTCTTTAAAGGTATTTCTGACACAGAAATGAAAATAGCCTCACCATTTACTTTCCATTGTGCGGTTTTAAACCTTGATGAGTTTCTTAATTCTGTTGAACACAAAATAAGATATTGTGATAAAAACGCTGGCTTACTTTGTGTTCCAGAAGAAAGGAAATGTTTAAAACCACATGATGGAGAGTAAATGGTTAGCTAATTTTAGTATTTAGGGTAAACATTGATTTCATGCTTGCCAATTTAAGCCTTCAGACTAAAGTTAACTTTTTTTGTTCTTTTTTTAAGACCTGATGGTGCTGAACAAAGAGACACATCAATGGAATGAATTGGAAGAGAAACAACAAGAAATAACGACTGATGAAAAACCCACACTGACTAAAAAGACTTCATCATGCGGAAGACCTCTGAAATCCAAGTCTAGGTGTAATTACAGCTGTAAACAGAGTAGAAAGAGTTTCTGTCAAAAGCCAAACCTTGATGTTCACACTAGAAAGAAACCTTTCACCTGCAAACAGTGTGGAAAAAGCTTCTATAATACAGGAAACTTAACAGTGCACATGAGAATTCACACTGGAGAGAGGCCGTACACATGCCAACAGTGTGGAAAAAGCTTCTATTCTACAGGAAACTTGGCAGTGCACATGAGAACTCATACTGGGGAGAGGCTCTACTCTTGTCCTCAGTGTGGAAAGAGTTGTAAGCAAAATGGCAATCTTGAAGCCCACATGAGAACTCACACTGGAGAGAGAAGCTTTATTTGCACACAGTGTGGGAAAGGTTTTTCTCAAAAACAAAACCTTACCATCCACATGAGGATTCACACTGTAGAGAAACCTTACACATGCACAGAGTGTGGTAAAAGTTTCCCACATATAGGCTCACTCAAACACCACATGATAAGTCACACCGGACAGAAGCCGTTTGCATGTGCTCATTGTGGAAAGAGCTTCACAACCAAAGCTAGCCTCATGAATCACATGAATGGTCACACTGGAACCGTCTCACATGCAAAGACTCCATCAAGCAACACATGAAGACTCACTTAGGAGAGCGTTTTCGATGCAGTGAGTGTGGAAAGGTCTTAAAACATAAAAGAAGCCTCGTCAATCACATGAAGCTTCACAATGGAGAGCAAAAAATGAGGCCTTGTCCAGCAGAGCTTAAGGCTCTCACCCAGTAAAGCATGGAATAGCATCTCGGGACAAGTGTGAACTCTTGAATAGATCTCAAGTTACTGCAATGAAACCCTTTGAACTTGAAGATTTTAACTCAATAACTGAAGAGGGGTGAAGATGTACCAGGTTGTGAGAGTTTCTACTTCTTTGCAAGAAAGCAAAATAACTCTGTATGTGTTTCAAGTTATTATGAACTGAGAACCAATTTTGTGCACATTGCACACTGCAATCAAATGGTCGGCTCTGAAAGGAGAATTTAAAAGATTAGAGAGGAGAAAATGTTTGGGGAGATTGTGTTTTTGATCATTCACATTGTTTGATTTTCACTCCCTTGAACAAACACAGATTTGCCCCCAATTTTGGGCTTTTGTCTGCAGTTTCACAAAACTTGCTGGTGAATGAAAGTCCACCTAAACTCGGCTGGTGTGAACTTGCAATGACAGTGAGAGACTGATGCAGACTCCATAAAGCCCTGATCAGACTACACAATGCCATTTGCCAATTACAACAGATGATATATATATATATATACTAACCAGCAATGATAGGTGAGCAAAATAAAAATTGAAATAGGATACTTTTATTTGACCTTTCATGAGTCTAATAATCTCAAAATCACACTTTAAAAGAAGGTCCAAAAACCTGCATTTACAAATGAAGAATGTTTTGCAAAGCATAAAAGGTTGTTAACCAGGTAATGCTGTGTACGATTTGTTTTAGTTACACCAAATTTAACTTGTTTATTGTAAAAAGGGTTTACATGGATATTGACATGAGACATTCTGTATTATGCACTATGTATTATGAGTCATGAGTAGGGCCAGACAGAATCTGTCGACGTTTTTTGCTATTTCTGCAAAGAATTTTGATAAAAATCTGTTAATTTCTGCCGAAATATTTTGGGAGTATCATAACTAAAACCTAAATATGTGAAACAAAGAATAATATCTTTTAAACTTTTATTTAATGTTTAAAATGCAAATCCAATTAGATGTACTTCATCTGGTAAACAAAGCAAGTCTCTCGTATAATATTTCTACTAAAAGACAGAAAATATTACGGTACAAAGTGCATTGTAGATAAATCAGATGAACATTTTCATATTAGTCAATAATATTACTGTTATTAATTTAAAAAGTGAATAAATATATATTTACACACATTTACTCAAGTAAATTAAATAGAATTATTGATGGGCTAAAAATCTGCAGAAAATCTGTGGAATTCTGCGCGTATATGCAGTTGTAGAAAACATGCTAAGTGTTTTTAATAACTTTCACAAAATTGGCAAGTTTTCCTCAGTATCAAATTTTAATCTCAGGAATTCTTTTGATGGATACACATTATTAATCATTTTATCTGAAGTTCTTTAATTTTGGGGAGAATTAAAAAAGAAATTAAATTCTTTTAAAATAAACGAGGTCTGAGCTGATTAGGATGAAGCCTTTAAATAAGAATATTCATTTAAAGCTTATAATTACATTTTGTATCTCTAAAAATAAAGATGGAAGAGCGAACATTACAGAATAGTGTGAAAGAAAACCTCTGATCAATACTGTGATGTTTTCAGGGGTGATAGCGTTCCGGCACCACGCCGGATTTCCGGCGTACTGTGGCTGCGGGGAAAAAAAAAATCAGGTTCACGGATATTGATCTGTCATTTCTCTAGATTCACAGAATTCACTCACTGCTGAAAGCGCTGGATTGGTTTTTATTAAGTGCCATTTTGTGTGCTCGTGAATCATCTTTTGAGTGTAGACGCCATGTAAATAAAAGATTAATTGTGTAATTTAGAGAGCTTTATAAATTATAACGGATCTTTGTGAGATCTCTATGAACTAAGATTAGTGACGCTTTTTAGTGATAATAAGAGGAGCGTGCTTTGCACTTTCCAGGCAATAATCCATTCAGAATTTGTATGAAACTTTCGTTTTCGGCACATATATGCTGATATGTTTTGGGAATGACATCTGCATATTTACGCTGGGTTTATTCTCGAAATAACGGTGAAGCAATAGACGGGACAAAAATATATTTCCCCCTTCTCCTTAAACAACTTAGTGTTTCAGCTATGAAATAGTTCAGTTTTGTATGTAGCCTAATGGCAAAGTGTTTATATTTAGTTTAGTTTTTTATTATTTAGAAAAACGTTTGGAGCATTTTTTATTCGTTAAAAATAAGTTTTTTTTAAGGAACAGCGCCCAGCGGAAGACCATCATTGTCTGTTTGATCAGTTTGCCGTCTCAGATCATCACGACTTGCCTAAAATAAAAGATATAAAACAGTTCAAGTATAAAACAATGGTAGCTTAAACGTTAAAGAATGTGTGCTATTAGGCGCATAGTTTGCTTATAAAAAGCTTGCAGGACATCGAGGCGCCAGAGCAATCACTTGCATTTTTTCAGTGGGAGCAATTTAAAGTTATCCGTCATTTTTGCTCACAAAGTACGAGTAATACATCAAAAAACGTTACAGCGTTTTTATAAAATAAAGAAAACCAAAATTATGCGCTTTCCGTGGTCTGGTTTTTGAACAGGAGCGCTTAACAAAATGAAGCAAAATGTATATGCCTCACAGACATAATAAATATATTTATAGAAAGCTTTAAATTATTACTTAACGAAATAAAACAAATCGAAAACAAAAAAACTCCTTCATGTAATCCGTAAAGATGAATTTCTAAAGGCGAGTCCAAGAGGAGATTGCCAGTCAGGATTTTTGCGACACTGACTCAGAATAAGTTTATTAATAAATAATTAAGATATGTCCTTTCTCTTTCCTCGACACATTCATTATTATTTGTTTTTGCCGGTGCTTGGGGCGAGTTTTAGCTTATTGTGTGCGCTTGAACGCGGATTCACAGTAGCAGTTTTAACATGGAGTGACACGACATCTGACGTACAGATGACACTGCCACATGCCACTGAGTGTAGTGACACTTCCGGTGGCACGTCCGGTTTTCCACTGTCATGTGTCATTCGCTAGTGGCATGTGTAGTGACCAAGTGTCACTCAGAGTGTCGCGCTGCATGTCACTGCAGTGACATCGACACCCGGTGAAGCTTATGACATTAATTAACACGAGCAAAACCATATTTAATCATTACGCGACTTTTAACGTAATTTATCGCGTCGCGAGTTAGTTTATTTGCTGAGCTACTCCACGATGTTTTAATTTAAACGCATTTATTTTATGTATTGGTAGTCATACTTCCGTACGTAATATAATCATTTGACAGTACATGTCAGTCAAATTTATTGTGGCATGCTTATGTATGGGAGGGGTTACACTTATCTGTTGTACTGTATATTATTGCATCCTGGCAGTTCCTTTGTTCCCTACAATATGGACTTTTCTATGTTTTTAATTCATTCATTTATTTTATTATTTAACTTATTTTCATTTAAAGGTATTTTAAATAATATCCTTTAAAAAGTTATAATAAAATGCATGTTGAAAACTCATAACATATATGCATGTAAGATAACAGGTGTCATTTGCCTAATGATTTTTTTATATTAAAGCAAAGAGAATTATAAGATTAATGTGCTTATAACGTGCTTATACTGACACCTACTGGCACATGTCACAAGATCACTGACACTGGCATGTGTCACTGACATTACTGGCATGTGTCTAAAAAAAGCCACTTGACAATAATGATGATCAGGGTTACACATAGGCTGTTAATATATTTGGGCCCAGGGGCCCACAAGTTATGTGTTAAAAGTGCGTTGCATACATAGTACCCCCACCCCTACTCAACTCAGGGGCAAGGAAAAAAAGTTCAGGCTCAGGATTTTTTTCCACTATCAGCCCTGTGTTTTTAGGAATAACATTAAAAATTGTGTAAAACTCTTTAGGGTGACAAGCAAAACCCTGTTTAAAGAATGGGTTGAATTATTTTAATTTAGCAAAAAGATTGTCATTTAAAATGAAAAAAGTCAAATGTGATTATAATCTATTTGAACGAGTTTTCATTTAATTTTGATGAGATGACGAGGAATCTGAACCAGCACCAAAGCCACTTCCTCCACCTGCTCCATCAATAGAATATCCTCCTGTTACCTCAGATCCCACTGAACTTTTACTATAGTTCCCACTATGATTTGGCCACAACCAGCACCAGCAGTACCACCAGCTCAACCCGCAACATGTACAGAGAAGCTGAAGCACTGGGAGCCACTGAACAATGTACCACATGTCCCCTCAAGCTACTTAATACAGTGATCTTTTTTTTTTTTTTTTTAGCTCTGCACAGTTGCCAGACATTCAGAATCGCTCCCCAGCAAACATCAGAAACAGGTGGGTTCAACAAAGGCTTCCACCCATGTGAAAAAAAAAAAATGTTGCACAACAAATAGTAGTAGTAACTATAGTATACAGCCACAGTAAAAAGTTTGGAATATTTTATAATAAGCTTATTCTGCTCACTAAAATGTTATTGCATTTTTAAATAACTGTTATTTTATTAAATGTTTAAAATATAATTTATTCACATTTAAGCCTGAATTGTACGCATGATTAGTCTTCAGTGTGATGATTATGGAGGACCAAGAGTCCGAGGTTGCCACAGCGGGATGAACCGCCAACTTATCCAGCAAGTTTTTACACAGCAGATGCCCTTCCAGCCGCAACCCATCTCTGGAAAACAC